CTGGGGACAGGGTTGAGACTTTGGGCCTGAGCCACGCGGGAGGGAGTCCCAATTTTCCTCTGTCCCGCCTGTCCCCAGCTGTGCTAGTTAGTTGTGCATCATTCAATTTTCCCTAGATAATTTCCACCAATCTTCTAACCGCCTCTTTGTTATTGTGATCCTCTTCTCCTCCGTCCTTCCATCGTCGCCAGCAAAGCCCAGGGCCCCGGCCAAACCCGTCACACCCTCAGGGGGGGCAGGACGAAGCCTCGTGCACCTTAAAACTAGGTGCTCAAGTGTCTCACTCTCATCACGGCATGCAGCGCATAATGTGTCTATCTCCTGAAATTTAGTCCTCAAAACTCCCGTTCTCGCCTCGAAAAGTAAAGAACTTCCCAGCGAGTTGTCAAACACATTTTCCTTTCGTATGTCCTGTTTTTGTGACCTGTAAACCGTTAGAGTCGATTTTTCCTGCATTCTTCCCTCCCACATTTTCCTCTCTGCCTCTTTCACTCCCTTTTTCACTGAAGTAGTCTGCTCAGCCCCATCATTAGTGAGTAGGTATTTAAATGTAAGCTTTCGGGTTCGGTTTGTCCATTTTGTGTTTATGCTTTTCATGTATAAATACTTGTACACCTTACGTGCCCATCTCGTATCATCCATTTCAGTCAACCTTTGTTCAAATTTCAACTTACTGATTGCTTCCCTGCTCTCAAAAGACGACCAGCCCATGTCCCCCTGCACTCCCTCATTTGGTGTGTTTCCATGTGCTCCCAGTGCCAATCTGCCTACGCTTCTTTGCCGAATTTCTAATCCTGATTGAACCTCTGATTTCATGCAGAGCACCGGCCCCATTGCCAAAAGACAGTCCAGGTACCATCACTCCTTTCCATATACCCCTGACCACTTCATATCTGTTATAGTTCCATAGTGCCTTGAGCTTCATAATAGATGAATTTCTTTTCCCTTTTCTAATTATATTCTCCTCATGTTCTTCTAGATATTTCTTTCCCTCATTGAACCAGACTCCCAGATATTTGTATTTTTCTACATGGTCTATTAAAATGTCTTGTATCCGCAGGGGTCCCCTCTTTTCATCATTAAACACCATTACTCCAGATTTGTCGCTACTAAAGCTCATGCCCAAGATGTCCCCTTCCTCTCCACACATGCCAGCTAGTTCCTGTAACATATCCTGGTTGTCTGCCATAAGTAATATGTCGTCCGCATACATCAGTCCTGGTATTACCTGGCTTACCTTTCTCCCTCCTTCCATATAACTCACATCAAAACCTAAGTTGCTCTGCTCTAATTTCTTTTCCATTTCCCTGAGATATATCATGAAGAGCAGAGGCGACAGTGGACAACCCTGCCGGAGCCCTCTTTTTATTGCTGCGGGTTGTGTAATTTCTGCTTCCCATGTTATAACTACCTTATTGTCTGTGTACACCTGCTGCAGAAACCTAACCAAATTTGCATCCAAATTATACTCTTTCAGCCGACCCCAAAGTATTTCCTGGCTCACATTATCGTATGCTCCCTTGATGTCCAAATAAGCTAACCACAACGGAGTTTGGTTCTTGATTGCTATTTCTATACATTGAGTGGTGACGAATAAGTTATCTTCCAGTCTTCTATCTCTTCGGAATCCATTTTGAAGCTCACCCAGTATTTGCGTTTCTTCTGCCCATTCCTGCATTTTCTGCTTTACAATCTGCATAGCTAATCTGTAAAGAACTGAGGTTACCGTTATCGGGCGATATGACTTAATGCTGTCTTTGTTTCCTTTGCCTTTATATATTAGTCTCATTCTACTTAGTTTCCAATCATTGGGTACTTCTCCTTTCATAATTGCTTGATTAATCACCTGCCGTAACTTCAATTTGCTTGTTTTTCCTAGTGTCTTTATGAGTTCCATGGGTATGTTGTCGGGGCCTGTTGCTGTACCTGCTGGAACCTTACTTTCTGCCTTATCCCATTCTCTTGTGTTTGTCTCCATTGTTATACAATTCTGCTCCTCCTCTACAGTGCTGCTGACAGTGCTATCCACCGTCCCCCTCTGCTCAAGCTGGGAGAAAGCCTTTTCGATTGTCTAATATATTCCTGTGCCTCTTCCCCCTGCACTCTTCTCCCCTCCTGTGTGGTCAGCGAGTGTTGGAAATCCTCTGTTTTTCTCCCCTGTGCTTTAATGTGCTCCCAAAACCTTTTTGCCGCATTCTTATCTTTTTTATTTATTTCCATCATCCACTGCACTCCTGCCCTCCCAATTTTGGCCTGTATTAAAGCTGATGCCTCCCTTTTCCGCTCTTGGAATCTCTCCCATTTTGATGTTACCTCAGCTGGCAGAGCTCCCCTTTTTTTTGCCCACCTATGCTCCCTAGATGCCTCTTGGCGCCGCAATATGGCTGCTTTAACCTCCTTATCCCACCAGCTTTTTGGTTTGTGTCTTTGGTTTTGCTTTCCTCTTTGTTTAATTCGATGCTTCTCTAATTCTCTCTTAAAGATTCCTATTAAATCCTCATATGTCCACTCTTTTTCTGGTTGTTTCGATACTACGTCCTCAATACTTTTAGATACTTTTTGAATTTGTGCTTCACTTAGTTTTTGTTTACCCGCTCGTTCCTGGGCTTGTTCAGGTTCAGATGTACCGAATTTAATCTTAATTCTTTTGTGGTCACTCCCTAAGCTTTTTGTACCTTCCTCATCTATTTCCATACTTTCTAGCCTGTCATACAGTTTGTGGGACATGAGGCAATAGTCTATCGTTGAGTGTGAGTTGTTTCGTTCCCACGTTATTTTCCCTTCGCATTTTACTTGTGCATTAACTAACACTAGGTCCAGGGCATCACAGAAATCTTCTAACATTTTTCCGGTTGTATCTGTGAATCCATCAAACTCTTCTATGTGGGCATTCATGTCTCCCATGATAATTATTTCCTGATTAAGGCCAATTTCCCTAATGTCCTTCGAAATACATGCAAAGTGTTGTGAATTTTCCTCCCTTGAGTCACTTCCTGTTTTTAAGTATGCAAACCCCAGAAGAGTGTTCAGACCTGTTACCCTACCCTTCAGCCATAAATGTTCCCTGCAGTCTTCTCTCTCCCTTTCCCAGTCCTGTCCTTTTACCAACGCTCCTAGGCCTCCGCCTTTCCTTTCCCCTGCCCTCCGGTTGCAACTCACCCAAGAATAACCTGGTATGTGAGGCGGTTCCTCCTCATCCCTAAGATGTGTTTCTGCGACACCATAGACTGTAGAACTTTCTGTCCCTAATTGTTCCCCGATCTCTTCCCATTTTAGCCTGTTTCTACCCCCCCTGCATGTTGATAAAGCTTATATTTAGCTGTTTTCTTTTCTTTTTCCTACGAGGCTTCCTCCTGCCCCCCCCCTCCCACCCCCCTTACCAAAGTTTTGCCCGAGTTCTCATCTACCTTCGGGCCCTCGGTGGGTCCAAAAAAACCCTTGCCCTGTCTCCCATCTTAGCCCCGATACGCCACCCCCGTGTGCTGTCCATAGTGTATCCCATCTTTTTCGAATCGGGGTGATGGCCCTCTTTGGTACACTCCCTTGTTCACCTCCAGCACCTCATAGCCCAGCTTCTCTCCCTGTTGCCTGATAGTTTGGTTGGCTGCTACAACATTTTTCTCGGTTGCTACCGACTGTTTCTCCACCTCCGGGATCGTGCACATTAAGA